GATGAAATTTCATTGCAAGCCCGAAGATCTAGAAAACAGGGAGAGGTGAGGTCCTCAGGGTTATCAACATTCAAAGGCAGGGAGAACAAGGACGGCCCCACAAGCTCATGCCAGCTCCTCTGTCATGGCCGCTGTACATTGGGCCACGAGCCACACAAACCCAGAAGCATCTGCCGAGGGTCTCAGGCGGCTTGCAAGCATTCTCTGCCATTTGTGCAGCTGTCATGAAGGGAGAGAGACCCATATTCCCAGGGTTCCACCAAGTGGATTTCTTTATCAATTCAGAACAATGTGATTAGAATACAAATTTTTTTTATTAGTTCTGATTTTGTCACTCTGAATATATACTTACCAGGATGAATACATCTCCTGCTTATTTTTGCAACTAACAGGTGAATAGCATACCTCATGCCACACTAAGAAAGAGGTAATGCTGGAGAAATGAATATAAATCACTCTTTTCACCTAATAGTGGAGTTATTGCGTAGACAAGTAGGTGCCCATTCACCTGGCGATTCCAAATGTCTTGAATATAATTTGTCAAACTTCCATCACTTTCCTTCCTTTCTTGCATATGAGTATCACAATTTCAAGGAAAATGATTTAGTGGCAAAATCTCAGATTGTAGCAGAGCCAGCTCACCTAATACACATCAACCCAGTTATTATGCTGCAGAAATAAGTTCAATGCGCTTATTAAAAATGTGAACTGCTCCTTTCCACCAAACGAGGGAAAGAGAAAAAAAAAAGAAAGAGAAAATCTTCGGAAGAAAAATATAAGGGCTTTACTGACTGGTCTTTGTTGCCTTTCCTATTTGTTGTAAAGACTCAGTGAGTGGGAGTTAATTATATTAGTTATCTTGGGTAACAAGCTATTAATTTTGTTCTTCAAAGTTATTAACCACCTTCCTATACACAGTTCACAGGCGAATGAATGAACTTAATCCCTGTATTATAATACAAAACAAACCAAATAATCCCATGTTTCATGACTTCTCAAAGTTGATTATCTCCTTGGCCAGATATACAACCGCCACTTTAGAAAAGGGTCTCTGGCAATTTACATGAGAAGCCTGTGAAAGGGGATTTAGTCACACTTTGATAGTAATTCTGATTCAGACCAGACATAAAAGGTCACCAAGGAAAAGCATTTTTTCCCAGTGATTTAACTATATTGGATTAGTACAATTTCTTCTTCCGGTGACCGCACAACTCCTGAGAGAGTCAGCTTGTCTGATGGGATATACTGCTTTTTGCCAATTTAAACAATTCGGTAGAGAAAATAAGTATTTAAGATGATAACATTTACTGTCTCAAGAAGTCTGTAGATTCCTCTCTTTGTGGTCATGTCTCATTCTTCACAGTGAAACATATTACTATTTAATTCTAACGCAGCAATTTTATATAGATAATGACCTTTATCTCCTAATTGCGAAGGGACATTTTACTTGTGAGAATCATTATGCACGTTAAAAAAAAAAAACAACAAACTACAGTAAATGAAGAAACTATTACCATCAATCACGATATTTATCTGCATTTAAGGAGCTCCATGCTCTAACAGGAGCAAACAGTGGTTTCATGTACCAATACTCCTATGGGAAATCTGCAGTGATTTATTTCTTTGATTTATTAAATGCCTAGTCGTAGCTCAAAGGTCTCTGAATACCCATAAAATTAGGAAATTATTGCCATAAAATTAAAAAAATAATAGGCAAATCTGCAAACAGGAAGCAATCCAACAAGATAGTACCTATTGGAGATCACTGCATTATAAAAATAATATGTAAAATGAAATCTTTGAACTACTGTTATAGCAATATACTATGCTTTTATGAAACCCATTTTTTGGTTCTATTGCTGTAGCATATATCTCATTTATATAGCCATTTCCTTTTCTTTTAAATTCATCTGGAAATAATGTACATATGAAGATATTTCTTCGTATATGATTCCCTTTTGAAGTTTTCTGATTTCAAATATAGTAAATTAGTGATGTTAGTATAAAAATCAGTAATTTAACAAGGTTATATAAGCATTATTAATAATTATCGCAGAGTGAACAGTTAGGTTGAAACTAAAGTTTAGGAAATTATTCTCAGAATACAATTAAGTGGTATTATTATTATAGTTGAGCTTCAAATAAATTAAAAGGCTAAATATTTGAAGATACGTTTTAGCATAAAAATCTATATGATGCAAACCACAGCCCATTAAAATTCCCTGTTCTGCTATTTTTTTTCAATGACATAAAAATAAACAAGTTTATTATATTTTTAAGAAAATAGTTCTGGAAAGTTATTTAAAATAATTGAATGAAAATAAAAGCTTAAGTAGAAAATAGGAAAAGAAAATATTTATAAAAACCGTACATTTATGCAAAGGACAATAAAATATTAATAAAGAAATATAATTTATTCTTAAATGGGAAAGCTCAATTTTATATATTTTCTTCCTAATATAATCTACAGGCTCAGTACAATCTCAATCAACTCAGTAAGAGGTTTTCTTAGGAACAGAGAGAAGGAAGTATTTCACGACTTCAGATGAAGGGATCAAAGTATAAGAACAGTCAATAAATTTATGAAAATTAAATGTTATTGAATTAAGGACTTTGAATTCTAATAATTATTTTTAACTAAGAGAATTAGTATGCAAAGGATGTATCTGGCAGCACTTAATAATAGTTAAAAACTGTAAACAAGCTATTAACATGGGGCTGATTAAGCGAATAACATCTCATCCATGCAATGAAACACTCCTTTGTCATTAAGAATGAGAAGTTTCTGGATTCATTTTTCAATGAAAGGTGTTAATAACATATTTTTAAGTGAAAAAAAAGTTATAAAAGGTATATAAAATATGATTCAATTTTTCTTAACGTGTACAGAAATGGAGGATATATGTAAAAACACTAAATGTGGTTTTCTCTGCTTACTAGGACAAAGGGTGATTTTTCAGCTTTTATCCTTTTTCTTTAAAGATTTTATTTATCTATTTGACAGGGAGAGACACAGCGAGAGAGGGAACACAAGCAGGGGGAGTGCGAGAGGAAGAAGCAGACTTCCCGTTGAGCAGGGAGCCTGATGCGGGGCTCGATCCCAGGACTCTGGGACCATGACCTGAGCCGAAGGCTGACGCTTAACAACTGAGCCACCCAGGTGCCCCAGCTTTTATCCTTTTTGACACTGGAAATTTTCTTTATAAAGATGCATTGTTTTTATAATCATAAGATATTATTTTAACATTCAGTGTGGGAATTTATGGGTAAAAAATAATTCAGTAAAATTAAAAGGAAAGTGGATACAGACAGCTTCTGGGAGAAGAAATCAATATGGCAACACCTGGAAGAAGTTGTCCACCTGCTATGATTTACAGGGGCACTTGGGGTACAGGATACAGCATGGAGGAATTACATGTGCTTTGATTCTCTAGTTCCATTGTCCACTTTCTGTAATCATTTTACTGCTAACGTCAAGGTGAACACAGTAGTGATGGAGTGTCTCAATTCATATCAGTACACCCTCCAGGGTCCTTATACTTAATATGAAAGCTATATTTTAATGCTGCATTTGCACACCTAAAATACATGCTTATAGGATAAGTTTATCTCTTGTTATGGTCCATACTAAAATTTGCCCCAGTGAATTCATATGGGAGTCTTATTAAAGAAGGGAAAAGTATGATAATGTGATTGACTGCTACAATGTATATAGTTTAAATCCTTTTACGAAAGACCTTAATTTGTCTAGCTCTGATTCCATGTTTTAAAAAATAGGTGTATGTGAATATTAGCTAATGTGGAAGTTCTACTGAATAAAAATATTCAGTATAAAATGACTTGATAAAAATAATAACTTGTGGGATATCAACTCTGTGCCAGGCATAGTTCTAAAAGCGTTTTATGTGTATTAAGTCAATTATTCCTCAAAATAGCCTATGAGATGGGTGCTGTTATTAGCTTTCATTTCTCCCAAGGGAAACTAAGGCTCAGATAATTAAGTCCCTTGTCCAAGGTGACAGTGCAGGTGATAAACCCAGATTGTGTGGCACCAGAACACATTTTATTTTCTCTTCGTGCAGATTTTTAAAAATTGAAATGCTTTTAATTTAGAATAGTTTTAGATTGATAGAAAAGTTATGAAAAACAGTACAGAGAATTCCTGCATACCCCTCACCAGTTTCCTCTTTAAATCTTAAATTAAATGGTATATTTGTCACAACTAACTGTACACTGATACTTACTAACCTGCACACTTTACTCGGATGTCACTGGTTTTCCCTAATGTCCTTTTTCTGTTCCAGGATTCCGTTCAGGATACCATATTACGTTGAGTTGTCACGCTCCCTAGCCTCCTCTGGGCTATGACAATTTCTCAGACTTTCCTTGTTTTTGATGACCCTGACAGTTTTGAGGAGTACTAAGCAGTATTGCGTAGAATGTCCCTCAAGTTTGTGGGATGTTTTTTTGTGATTAGACTAGGGTTAGAGTTTTTGAGAAGAAGACCACAGAGACAGTGGCACATTATAGCAAAGGTTCAGGCTACCAATGTGACTTATCTTTGATGAGGCTAGCCTTGAAGACCTGGCTGAGGTGGTTTGCCTGTTCTCCATTTTAAAGTTACCCTCCTTTTTCCAAGCTCTACTTGATGGAAAAAGTTACCAATCAAGGCCCACATTTAAGTGGGTGGAGATGGGAGGGAGTTAAGCTCCACCCACTTAAAGGGGCAGGGCCATCCACATAAATTGAAATTCTGCGAGATCCCTCATTTTTAACCCACTATTCTACATTACAGCAGACAGCCTATCATTTCCTACCATTCTGGCACATTATTTGTGTACAGTAGTTTAAAAACACAATTCTTAACTAATTTCCTGCTTTTTCAAAGGTGCAAAAAATACATCAGAATTAAATGTGACAACCAATAAATTTGTGTAAAATCATTTTCCACCAGCACTGTACAACTTGTCATGAAAGGATGAATTAGAAACCAATTTTTCTCAGAAGCACTCTGTAAAGAACTTACCAGAAATATTCGTTCCAGTTGATCCTGAATGTCTTTCATTCCTGGAAAAGCAGCAACCCCTTGGATCATTTCGACAAAGATGCAGCCGACTCCCCTAAAGAGAGAAGAAAAAAGAATTGTACAAAAGCTCCAATATTTCCTAGTAAATTAAATCTGGAATTAGGACGTCTACTCCTACAGAGGAAAAACAATGAATAAATGACATTCTTAGTGAGTACCAAGGGCTGTGCCACATATATCTAGACCCTACTTCTTTCCTTTCCCTCTCTGTCTAGTGCCCTGTAAGGTCTCTAATAGATACAGCTACACTGGGCTCAGAAAATGGTGGCAACCAATAAAATATAACACTTAGCAGCTCCACCTTACTTACAGGAAACAGTCAAGAAACTCTTTAGCCTGATATAGAAAGCCTCCAGTCTTTTTCAAATACCCCTATCCAACCCCATTTCATGAATTCTTAATATATTGTCCTCTCAAGCTGCCCAGGAGTTCTCAAACCTCTCTTTGCATCGAAATAATCTGGGGGGAACTTTTAAAAACTGTGAATAATCTGAACACAAACCCCAGAGATCCTATGTCAATCAGTCTAGGTTGGATCCCAGGTGTTGACCCAGGCTATTTGGTGATTCAGGGCAGCTACACTGAGGATCATTGAGCTGGACTGATCTGCCCATGGGCCAAGCATAAACCCATACAGCTTGACTCAAATTGCTTCACTACCTACAACTCCCTCCTTCTTCATTTATTTGCTCTTAACATATAAATCCAACCCAATTTCTATAACTTAATTTAAATGCCATTTCTTCCACAAAGCCTTCTTCTATGAGTATTCCAGCAGACATAATAGCTCCCTTTATGAGTGTATTTTATTAAGTTCTCATTCAATATATCAGCCACCTACTATGGTTAACTTCCCCTCCTAGCTCAGCAGGTCATGCTCACAGTCCTTGTCTAGCAAGGCAGTCCAGAAGATCAGGAGACTTGCTTCCCAGACCACAGTGGCCTGCACCTAACCCAGTAGGAACAACCAACCCATAGTATAGGCAGAGAGCCAATCAGATACTTCTGCTGGGACTTTAACGAACAATCACTTGGGAGAGGGTCCTGGAAAGAAACTAGCACATGTTGATGGGATAAGTCACATTAATGAAAGAGCACTAGGAAGGACAGTCTTTTTGCAGATGAAGTCCCCTGAACTGACCTGGTTTCCACCTTCCTAAGGCCTGAATATTCAGAAAATCCATTGCTTTTGCTAGCACTCTCTACCTTCTAGCAATTCTCCAGGATGTGTGTGTGTGTGTACACATATATATATATTAAACGGTTCTGTAAGTGTGTGTGTGTGTATATATATATATATTAAATGGTTCTACCTTGAATGGGTTTCTATTTCCTGAAAGCATTCTGATGAAATCATGAACATACTGGGATACTTCTTCAATTGCTGCACTCATATTCAACTTAGGGTGAGCAAAACCCTTGTGCCTTTAACTTATTTCAGATCCTTTAGAGGTTAAGGACAAGGGACTACATCTCTGTAACTGCCCCACTTGTTACACAGTTGTATATAAACCATGTATTGAATTAAAGAAGTAATGCATTTGCAGAAATCTCTTCTCTATTACAGCACATAATTTCTATCCAAATTAAATACCAAAAGTAAATAGAATCAAAATGACTAAAAACAAATAAATGCTACCTTATATATCATAAAAATAATTCCATTTAAATAACAAATCATTAACTTTAAAATCAGCGTTCTAGGCAGATTGGGTTTAACACAAGTCTTCACTTTAGATTTGAGACACAACATACATTTTGACAATCATTTTACTAGCATACTAAAAATGCAATGATATTCTTATAAATATTGGGGCTTCAGATGCCTGGTTAGGTTTAAGACTTCAATTTGTGTCCTTCCAAATTTTTATGCCAATAATTCTTTTCTAAGACTACTGACCTACATTTCTACTGTCTTTTTTTTAAAATTTTTTTTTCAAGATTTATTTATTTATTTTAGAAAGAGAGAACACAAGCAGGAGGGGTAGAGGGAGAATGAGAGAATCCCAAGCAGAATTCTGAGCTGAGCTGAGCAGAGCCCGACATGGGGCTCCATTTCATGACCCGAGATCAAGACCCAAGATCAGGACCTGAGCTGAAACCAAGAGTCGCCGCCCAGGCGCCCCTCTACTGTCTTCTTATTTATGTTTACATAAAGTATCTTGGATCTTCAATAGCTACTGACACCTTCCTTCCAACATTCAGGGTATTCTCTCTATTCAGTGTCATTTGGCTTTCATCCTTCCCAGCACAGGCTGCAACTCTGAGTGTGCAGACCTTCAGCAGAAGCCACAGCTGCCCCCACTGGGTACCCAGCAAGCTGGCAGGTGAGGTAACCATTACACACACTTACAGAAATGCTGTTAGCACTACTTGTGCTTGGTCCAGATCACCTCCATAATACTTAGAACAATTAAAAGATAAATCTATGCTGCAATTTTACTCAGTTGGAGTACAATGACAGAGCATTTTCACAGGCTTTTATCTGCTCAGCCAGCTAAGGGACATGGACTTTCATTTCTTTTTTTTTTTTTTAAGATTTTTATTTATTTATTTGAGAGAGAGAATGAGATAGAGAGAGCATGAGAGGGGGGAGGGTCAGAGGGAGAAGC